TAGTAGAAACAAGTCGTTTTCGATAGCACCGCAATTGGATTATTCACTTAAATTAATTAATAATTCTACTTGCAAAGTTAAATATGAAGAATATATACATTTTTCAGTTTTTATGAAAATGATGGTAAAGTTCAGAAATTAATGAAAGTAGTTTTGATAGTAAGCGAGTACATTTTATGAAAAGGCCAAATTATATGAATTAGATAGTATAAAGTTTTATCTATTGTTCTCAAGGGCAAATTAGGAATTAAAATTTTATACTTATAATTAATTAGTCTTAAATATGGTCAAGGGGTGTACGCAATACTTAAAAGATCTGGGAAGTTAACGATATTTTTGAGAGGTGAAAAGGGTGTCTATGGTATTGTTTCAGTTAAAAAATGCTCTAGGTTCATCTTTTTCGAGATTAAAATTTAAGTTGTTTCTTCTAACAGTGTACATGATCAACAATATATAAATGACATGTCTCAGCCACTCGAATGGACTGGAATGCTAGTAAAAGCATGCCAATCCTTGAATCGACCCAACTACAAATCTAGACTATCACCAAACAAGCTTATCACGTCAAACTGACCTTTCTAGTTTATCTTCTACATATTTATAAAAAATTGTACACGTACACTTTCAATTAGGTTTTTCTATATTATAGAAAGTATATCGGTGTACGTTTGGAATTAATTTTAAAGTGTTATCAAATAATGAATATTACGAAATGTGCGGATAATAAATAAATAGTAACTTATAATTTTTATAAAATATGTGGATAAAAAATATGTGCGATCATATTAAGCCACCATTTGAGCCACATTATCTAAAAACATTTTTTTTTTTAAATTCATTTTCAACCACACATTTTTTCAATAAAATATTTTACACGTAGGCTCAAATTTTTTTCTACCTTTTAACTACATATTTTTCAAAAATTTAATATTACAAAACTCATTTTCAATTGACTCAAACATAGGTTAAAAAAAGGTTACCCAACATTAGGAATAAAAAGACAAAACGGAAAGAAAATTATTTTTCAAAAAGTTAAAGAAGGGCCCACCGGTTTGTTTTTCATATAAAATTTGTAAGATATCCTATCCAAGCACGTGAGCGCCCCATTGGCCGCCAATGCCGACCACCACTTTCTGCCACCAACGGTGGAATCACCTCTCAACACTACAGTCTTAAAAGCTGCATTGCACCCCTCGCAAATCAAATGAAGCCCAAATTTTAAAAGTAAAATCTCTTGAAATTTAATGTTTCATATGCAAATTCAAACCCCAAATTATAACTATAAGAGAAAAATAAATACAAATCTAGCTGAATTCTTAACCAAAAGATACTTGATGCGTTGTTGACGAA